GCCCCACCAATCAGAGCGGTAGCACGCACCGCCCTCGTCGCCCGTCGGGAGCTACCGGAGACTACGCGTCCCAGAAGGCCGTGCGCCCTACCGCCGCCGCCGGTCGGCCGGGCGCGGCGCCGCGGGGCACGCTGGGATTTGTAGTCCGCCCCCAGCCCGCCGCTCCTCTCCGGGTGACCGAGGCTTGCCCCCTGCCGAGACCCCGGAACTTGGAAAGAAGGAGCGACAACCCCCCCCCCCCCCCGCCGCGGATAGCGGAGGCCCTTGTCGCCCCTCTGGCAGCCCGACCGCAGCCCTCAGGCTGGGAGCGAGCGAGGCTACAGCGGCGGGAGGGGAAGGAGCACGCCTTTTCGGCTCTGCCGTCCCCGGTCTCGAGCACGCCGGGGACCGGGACCCCCGGCTCCGGTGGGCGCCACGCGACACCCGGGCGCTTCCCGGGCCCGGCGGAACAAAAGACGGCGGCGGCTGTTCCCGCCCGGAGTGGCACCGCTGAGCGCCGGGCCCCGCCCGAACGCTTCCCGGGGCACCGGAAGCCGCCTCAGCGAGGAGGCTCGGGGCCGCGCCAGCTGGGGAGGCTGCGGGCCGGAGCGGCAGGAGCCGGTGGGTACCGCCGCGGTCGGGGCCTAGCGGCGGGCACAGCCCGCCCCCGGCCGGCTGCAGCGCCCCGCGCGTTCCCCGCTCGGCAGCGCGGCCCCTCCGTGCCTTTCGGGGTGGCCGCCTCGGCCCCGTGGCACCCGCATCCCCTCCGGACGTACGGCTTCTCCTCTCCCCTTTCCCTCCGGGCCGGGGCTTTGGGCGCTCGGAGCCGCCCCGCTTCCCCGGAGCAGCAGGACCGTGAACCGGGGAGTCCAGTCCACCGGCCAGCAGCTTGCCTTTGCCGGTTAGTTTTGTCCCCCCGGCAGGCTGCTTACCGGCAGCTTGGGGTGCGGTGAGGTTTCTGCTCCTTTATGGTTAAAGGTTGTTATTGCCGCACGTGAGGAACTGCTCGTTTATCAGCTGCGTGCAGCCATTTATCCCGCGAAAAGGAGATGGGAAGGGAAGCCAGCACCTCATACTTAGTTCTTTAACTTAGGAATTGCTCCCGTAACACTCATTGCAACTTTAGAACTTCAGTTCATAGAGCTACCTGAAACAAAATATCCTGTGGTGGGTAAATAAGGATCGAGTACATGTAATATTTACCTTTAAGTATACACCTGTAGGAGTCCCACATCTGATAAACAAGTCTAGACTGTGACTTAGCTTTGGACATAAGACAAACTCGGCAATTCATCAGTTTCAGACCTTCTCCTGAATTTTTCTGTTTTAGGGCCTTGATAAAACAAAGATGTTTCCTCACATACAACGATGCTGCTTCCACACACCTTTCAAAGTAAGTTTCTGAAGCCTTTTTTGCTGTCTGTTTTTCTTTAAGTAACAAAAGATGTGAGTGGAGCATTGGAAAAAAAGTGACTTACAAGTTGGAGCAGCCACATGTTTATCACTCAGCTTTTCTGAGAAAATTCCTAGGTTCTACAATAGCTTTTAGCCAAAGCTAAGATATTTCTTTTATAAAATCAAATTTTATTGTTTAAAGGTCTTTTTTCCTCTCTCTTTTTGGTAGAGTAGTGAGGGGATAGTAGCTGGTTTCAGGGGTGACCTTGTCCTACTTCTGTAATCATTTTATATTCTGCTCTGAAAAGGACTTCTCTATCTTAACTTAAAAATGCCTTAAGAGTGCACTTGTGGGTGGAAGGATAGGTGGATATACAAACCTTTTGTAGCGAGTAAGGTTTGCTTACTCACTTGAAGAGCCTAGTTGCTCTTCATCAGCTAGCTTGTGAAAGCTGTATCAGGTTAATGAGTTAAGTTAAAAACACCTGCAAATCGAGAGGAGGGGCAGCTGTGATGTGACCTGACTTGGAAAACTACTTGGTACAATATTTCATAGGTAGTTTAGGTAACTGTAGATCTGTAAACCTACATTGTAAGGTGTTCAGAACAAGTTTTATACTTGCAGCTCCAGAAGTTAACCGTACCCAGACTACTACTATATGGAAAGAATAAGACAACTTGGTCTTCTCTCAGCCTCCAGCTGCAGAGAAATGTGTGTCCTCTCTCAAGATCTCCAAGCCTCAACCCAGCATCAGTATATGCGACTAAGCTCCAGGCTTTTCATACCTCTTCCCCCTTCTTCAAGAAGAAAACCCCCAAAGAATCTGAGACCAAAGAATTGGGCATCTTGCAACGAAGTATGAAATCACTGAAGGATTCTCCCAAGCCAGCCCTCTACTTGAGCCTTGCAGGGCTAATTCCATTTGTTTCTGTTCCGCTGTTAATGGCCATCCAAGGGACCTACTACCCAGAGCTGGCGTTTGCTCAGATTACGTATGGTGCCGTAACAGTCTCTTTCCTAGGAGGGAAGAGGTGGGGGTTTGCTCTCCCAGAAAACAGCCCAGCCAAGCCAGACTGGCTGAACCTGGCTAACAGTACAGTTCCTCCTCTACTTGCCTGGCAAGCCTTACTTTTTAAAGATACCACACCTGGTGCAATAATGCTAGTAATGGCCTTGGGCATAGCACTACATTATGACCTTTCCCTTCTTCCTACTTATCCTGGGTGGTTTAAAGTACTGAGGGTAGTGGGAACAGTGGTGATGGTATTATCACTGTTAGCTACTGCAGCATTGAAGACTATTTCAGAGGAGCAGCGAAGTAACAGAAGAAATAAATGGCAGAACACAAAACAATAAATCAATAGGAAAAAGCTATTTATCTGCCAATAAGGTATTTGTATTGAGTTTCAGGGGAAGTAAAGACTTATTTATGCTTAGAAGTTGTAGGATGGCAGGGATCAAGAAGCTTATTCTCAAAGCGAACAACTTCGCTAGTTTAGGAGGGAAGGATTGTAAATAGCAGTGACTTCCAAGGCAGGCATGAGTCTGTCCTTATCTGTAGAACAAAGCATCACTCTTGAAGGAGGTGTTACTGTCATATGAATTTAAAATGGAGATTCTAATGAGATGCGTATGAACTGCTCTATGCTGAATTATTAAAGTATCTGGTTTAACTATAACGTGTGATAATGTTCTGTAGTGGGGAGAACAACTGTGCAGTCACGAACAGTAACAAGGTGAAAGCAGTTCTTCTAGTTTAGCATTGAAAGAAGCAGCAGAGAATTATGCAAAAGTACATACGTGTTCAATTCCTACGTTGTGGAACAAAACTCTTCTCTGTCTTACTTCAGCTGAGGTCCTGAAATGCTATGTGATGAAGTGCTAGTTGGGTAAGAAAGGATAGGCAAGGTTTGTTTGCTGTGGCAAGCCAAGGTCAGCACTCACCTAAAATATGTCAGAGAGCTGCTGTGATGGAGTGGGGAGAGCTAGAAGGGGAAGCTTTGCATCTTTGACAAGGCCCCACAAGAGACAGAAGGTTAACTTCCTACTCAGGCTTACTTAAATGAAAAAGGATACCTGGGCCATCTGTTCCTAGGTTTTGTTTGGACTTAGGACTGCCTAGCCAAGGAAGCTGCATGCAACATAGCCATAAAGATCTGTCATACTCCTAAATTAAAGTACTATTAACTGATGATATGACACAAGGACTCAATTGCTGGGACTAAGGGATCGGATAATGAGATTGAAAGTAGTTTGTCTTTTCTTCCTCCTCAAAATTCATTTTATTTGAGCACCTGGAGCAGGTCCAAATGGATTTGTAGCCTGCAAAGCATTCACGATAGGCCTGTCATTGAAAATACTGCAGAAGCCTATGCTCTTTGTACTTAAGTCTTCCTAACATATAATTTAGGGGAAGAATATACAACCTAAGTCACATGGTTTTTCTTTTCTAGCCTCAACTACCTCAAGAAACCTATGAAATTGTATGTGGGCATATTTACTGTAGGCTTTTTACCTTAAGTATTCTTTAAGTACAGTATAAGATGCAAGAAGAAAGCTGAAAAGTGACATCCACACACAGTCTTGGGACCAATTTAGATAATCCTGGTAGTTCTCTTAAAGCACTATTCTTCACTGTTGTTCTATACAGAATAACAAATTTTAAGTGACAGCGTGTGCTTTATCTGTTCATTCTGCAAAGAACAGACATTTAAGAAGCCTGTCTATCCTGGAGTCATCTTACATGGTATTGCTGAAACAGCAGCTATGTACATGGGCCTGTAACTTTTGTAACCTGTTAACCTTTACACATTAACAGCATCATGCCTCTGAAACAGCAATATATTTCAGTGCTCTCTGAATATAAATGAAGTAAAATTGAGTTTGTGAATGAAAACAGTTCTTTTATTCTTTCTTACTTAGACATGGTGTTTTTTAAGGTGGGTCCAGAGAAGAGTACTGCCTTACCCCGAGTCAAGCCAAAGAGGTGCTGAGTATCAGAGACCATAATCAACTGACTTCAAAGTTTCATTCAAACATGATAGAATCAGCTACAAAAACTGGAGAAGGTAACTTCATATAACAGCAGACTCCCTCAAGCTCCACTAAACCAGAAAGTTTATGTGTAGGGATCAGAAGTGAATGTGTAGTTCCCAAACTAATAAAATAGAGCTAATGTAATGTTTCTCAAATGGTTCACAAGGGATCCTGCAATGTAAAGAAGAAAGCCTAAGAAATACCTATCATTTGATCCCTGAGAGGGCTGCACAGAGCTGGCAAGGCAGCCAGACTTCCAAGAAGTCTGAGTGATTTTACACTGAGAAGAGAAATGCATGACTATTTTACCAGAGAAATGTGTTACTCGCACCTTTCAAATAGTCAACATTTATAACCAATCTTCTCCTAGTGTCCTACTGGGAAATTGGATTTCCAGTTAAAAAAAAAAAAAAAGATGACCTGTTATATGAAAGTGGCAGTAATACAACTCATTGTGATAGGAAAGCACCCTATTCAAGAGCATTCCACAGTCAGTTCTGAAAATGCATTTTATTATGAAAAACTGTTTAAAACAAGCTTAAACTTGGGGGGAGAAAAAAAAAAGACAGAATAAACATTAGTTCACACACATAAGAAATCCTTTTGAAGTAAAAGCACACACAAGATCATAGAACAATCAGAGAAACAAATGCTCCATCATCTAGCATGTTTTAGCCTGGCAATCTCCCAACACTATGTTAGAATGTAAGACCAAGATTCTTAAGGTACCTGCAACACTCACCTTGGACAATTTTATTCATGTATTAATTTGTTAATTTTACACAGGGGATATTGACCTAGACAGCATGAATGCTCCTTTGTCTACACAGTGCAGGCTTCCTGTTTTGTGACATTCCAGTTCTGGTTTTGTGTTCTAGAATAACACTGTCTATCAAAGTTCAAGTGGCCTTATTTCAGACTCCATCCAAATCATCCACAGCTGTGCAGAAAATGCAATCATACTGTGCAAAAAGTAACTTCAAGTACGTTAATTTAATGAATCTAGAAATAACTCCAAACTCCTAGTAGTATTGTTCTACTAAGTGTATCCAAGCTAAATACAAACTCCTTAAGACAAAACACGCTAATAACCTCACTTTAATGCTGAATGCAGCAAATTCTATCACAAAACACTCTGTCCACTCAAATTTGGAAGAGGCAGGATATGAGACATAGCAAGGATGAACGTGTGTACCTTGTAGAATAGCATGTATTCTAATGCCAAGTCTCAGCATGTGTCACAGGGTAAAACACATTTAAATAAGGAAAAGTTAAAAAAAAAGGGGGAAAAAGGCTTTCCCTGTATTTTTTTTCATAATAAGAGCAGTCCTAAACAGAACAGCTAATCTAATGAATAGCATTTCCATTTAAAATTCATCAGAGCTTACACAAAAAGAAGCTCTACTGTCATCACTGATATCACTGAGAAGAAAAGCCTGTGCTGAAGTGGAATGACATTATTAGAACTGTGAGAACAACCTTCCAGAACAGGAAATTCTCAGCCACTCACTATCCAGGTTAGGGAGTGACTAGAAAGTAAATATCCAATTCATATTTAATGCCCATCACATCCAGCAGCAGCAAAGAGGCTCAAATGCATCAAGGTCATAAGTAGAGGTACCAAGTCTTCCCCATCTGTTATCTTCTCTTCCTTGTTTTCCTCCAGAAAAGGACAACTAATGCTAACCAAGTAACCCATCTGCTCTTATCTACAGGTAACTCCTAGCTGTCTATAGTAACCTCCTTCCAGATTGTAAGGCCAGCTAAAGATGCTAGCTTTGGTGCACCTTAGAGAGTTAACAACCTGATTAATGTCTCTAATGTGCTGGAATGATTTCTACAGATTTTTACAGGGCAAACTCGCCATTTATTTCAGTGAGCTTAATCCCGTCATAAGGGGCATTCCTACTCTTAACAGAATACTTCCCAAGACAGATGTTGGATAAGCCAATTTGAAGGGCAAGAGTTTTAATATTCCCTTTTGCTCAGGAAAAACTCTCTGATCTAGTTCTCCACTGTCTCCACTGAAGCTCCTGTCTTAGAAGAGGTTTCTGGCCAATGAAACCGGAAATCTGAGGAGACGGATTTACTCATTCCTTGAATGAGTTTTCTTCTTTGGGTTTTACAGCACAGCCACACCTCCTTCGCAGCGGCTGGTGATCATGTTGGCAATTTCAGTCCAACTGTCCATATGAGGGTTATAAACTTCAACAGAGTCAGAGGTTACTGGAGCAGCAAAATCATGACTGGGAGCTCGGCCTCCCGAGGCATAAAGAAATCCATTCACAGCCACAACACAGACACCAGCTCTTGGTATCTTCATTGATGCAACTTCAACCCACTTTTCCTAATGAGAAGGTGAAAGAGCCAACAAGTAGTTTTAGCATAAGCCCAGATTCTGATAAAAGTAACTTTTAAAGCTTAAAGACTGAAACATATACAAAAAACACTATGTATATCTCTCACAGGCTCCGATATGGTATGTGTATGGTATCAAGAGGATTATCAAGACTGTAATGACAGCACTTTCACAAGTGGTTGAAATCACGCTGGTCACTGAAGAACAGATCACATAGTGTCTGTACACAACTACTCTCCCTTTCTTCAGTCACTGCAAGATGCAGTCTGTCTCCAAAATAGAGAATGGTATGCAGTTTTAGGTGGGAAATAAGGAAAACTAGATTCAGTTCCAAAAGCAAAACAGAATGGCACACTGGATTATGCTCTGCTTTTAACAGTAGCTACTGTTCCAAAGAGCATCACAGAAACATAAGCAATAATAGTCAGGAATAATTTCTTATTTTATTCAAAAGCTTAAGTGTTCAAAGTGATTTTTCTAGCCATGCTGAAACACTACTACATTTTGATGCAGAAGAAAGATCCTCAACTTTTGCAACAAAGGGCAACTCTTACTTTTTCAGGGATTTTTTTTCTCTCTTGTCAGATTATTGACCATTCTATTGCAGAGGGGGAATCTATCCCCCCATCTTAACCCTAACCAATCTACAGTAGATCTATGCATCATCAGTATTGGTTAGCTTTCAGTTTCCCAAAAGCATGCATACAATCTTCATAAACACTCCACTAAATCAGATAGCAAGATTCTAGAGACTGGTCAGGACAGAGGAACCCTGAGGTCACTGAAACTTTGTTTCACTTGGTTTACCAGCCAGTAGTGAAAAGAAAATAGAATTTCCAGCTTTTTAAAGAAAGGAAGCAAGCTACCTCTATAGCATCTTACACAAAGTTGACGCAGTCTACATTTATGAAAGAAAGGGACTGTACCATACCTCTTCAAAGGAGTATCTTTCTACAGTAGCAAGTGCATCCTGAGATTCATTCCAGCCTCCCACAGCATAGATACAATCATTGAGAGCAGCTACACCAAGATACGCTCTTCGGGTGCCCATTGGAGCGAGCTCAGACCAACGTTTAGATATTGGGTCGTAGACTTCAACGGAACACAGCTCTACTCCTTCATTGCTGATACCACCAACAACATAAATCAAACCTGTAGAAACATAGTTTTTCTTCTATTAGGTTTCATAATAGAAAGGTTTGAAAGAGAGAAAATGTTTGTCACGATACAAGTTTCAGCCTGACATTAAGATGGTTTAAGAATGCCAGATAAAAGTCCTCCATTTGTCTAGTAGTAGCATACATAAAGCTTTCAAATTAGTAACTTGTGGTTCAAGCACTAGAAACTCTGTTGAAAGCACTAAATAAGCAAGTGCAGGGGAGAAAATTCAGAAGGCTGCAACTGCTGACAAGGCCTGGATCAAATCCTTAATAAGCATGTTCATAGATCAAGTCTTTAGACATGTCTGTCTTAAAATAACCTGTGGCAACTCTTCAGATTGTCACAAAGACACACACAAACCCAAATATGGGAGGTAAATAAAAGCAGTATCAGGAAGGACAACAAACTGTTAAAGACTAGCTGGATAACCACACTGGCAGCCATGTAAAAACTGTTCTCATGAGATAAAAGGCAGAAGACAGAGAGAATTTTATAGTCTTTGAGTTCTGTAGAATTAAAGATATGGTACTAGAAGGACAAATAAGTGAGGCACAAGCTTGTGCAACTGACAGCACAGTACAAGACAAAGCTAAAAATTCATGACTGAAACATAAAGCTTCACAATCCAATGGCTCGTGGAACTGTTTATGGATACAAACTTAACAATATTCACCTTGCATTTCACAACACCCAAAGCAGTAACGGGGCACAGCCATGCTTCCCACCACATCCCAACTATTTTCTTCAGGATCAAATCTTTCAATTGTGTTGCCAATCTCTGCTCCAACCCAGCCTCCTGCAAATAACGGCAAACAATTTAATGGCATGAAGCTAACCTATGGTGCACTGTTCCAGGACAAATTCCGACACCAGCATGCAATCTACAATGGAAATAAGTTATAACTGAACAATAACTAATCCACAAAGATTTGGTTTACCAATGCTCATGTACACAGCTGTTTTTCAAAACTGAAGTTTGCAAATTTGCAACACCAAGATGTAATATTTAAGATCAAATAAATTTACAAGTTCCATGAATTAACACCTTTAAAATTAACTTCACCTAGGAAAAAACCCGAAACTTACCCAAAGCATAGATAGCGCCATAGCACGTGCACACTCCCAGTCCACAACGGGGATGGTTCATCGAAGCCACAGTGGTCCACTGCTTAGTAACAGGATCATAACATTCAGTACAGTCAAAAATCATTGAGTCCTTCTCACCTGCATAATTAGAGCAAGAACAGAGACAGGGGAAACACAATGTTTTGCACTGCAGATACAGAAGCATTCTTCAACTCCTTCCAGGACAGGCAACATTTGTATACAAGATCTTTCTTTCAGCTAGCCAAATGGCCAAAGTAGCAAAAGCTTCATTTATACCTAGAACTGAATCATCACTAGGAACAGCTTTCATCAACAGTTCCCTGAAACATTACTGAAATCATCAGAGGAGTGAACAACCAGTGCTACACACTTTTTACTCTGCAGCACAACTGATGGGGTTTTCAAGACCAAAGAATGTGTTCTGCGGTGACAAAAACAGTATACATATGCATTTTTTAACGATGGGCTGGTAGAGCTACTCATCACATCCTTGTACAAACACACATAACAAGCCTTTCCAGGTAGGCAGACCACAAGTGGTCTGTCCCGTATTACTGCTTTTTATGCTACGGGCTTCTGCTAGACTACAAGTGAAATGCTATTAGTGGTGGTACACAAAGTCCACAGAATATCCAACATCTCTTAGTGTATCTGCACATGTCCACATGCTTATCTGTAAGTTGCTATACCATGAAGGAAGAGCAACTTAGTAAAAAATGACTAATATAGGAGCCTAAACAGGCATTCACAGAACAGTGATGGTAGAGAACCAAGGAACCTTAATTCAACTCTTATTATATCTAAAAGTTGTACTGTCTACTGTTGGATTCCTCAGAAACACTTGCAGGAAGAAAAATTTACAGAATCTCCATTCATAAGTATCCATGTAACAAAGAAAGCATGTTTCAGCAGTTACCTCCAATGGCATAGACCATTCCTCCCACCACAGCCACACCCAGCCCACTCCGAGCCTGGTGGAGAGAGGACACTGTGGTCCAGTAGTGGCTGAAGGTGTCAAATCGCTCCACGCAGCTGAGGGCTCTGCTGTCACTCCAGCGTCCTCCTTGCAGTCGGGTGTACCCACCTAGAAAGTAAGTGGAAAGATCATGGCTGGGTAAAAGCTTTCTGTTCATCCCTATACTCCTGCATCCAAATCATCAAAAAAATTACAGGAACAGCCATTAGCCACTTTTAGTAGGAACTGGACTTTTCCAAGTAGCATTCTTTCTCCAGCACACAAGGAAGAATGGTAACCTTGAAGGTCACATAACTTGTGCCTGAGCTGACCACTTCACCACAACACTACAAATATTACCATTTGTGTTCTTAGTAAAACACAGACCAACTAATAGCCTTTGCTATCTTAAGTCAGTGTTACTTCCCACAGAGTGAAACAAGAGCATTCCCTTCCAATAGAAAGCTGCAGCTTTGCTGAAAACTTGCAATTTCAAGTATCCCATCACATGAACCAAAATATCGTGGACAGAGAAAACTTTCAGCCTTCAGAAGAACAAGGAGTGTAGTGAATTTGTATACACCATTCCAGCAGTGAACCACGGGCAAATCCTCTGCTGATTTGCAGCTTTCCACCCAAGGCAAATAATTTCTAAAAGGCAAATCTAGGCTTTGAATGCCATGTCATAATGACAAGAAACGTGAATGCTGCCCCTCTGTGCAATTCTAAGCAGAAAGCAGCTAATGTGGTAACTCAGCCAAATGAAACATTTTTCTGTTTTTATATCTTTTGGTTAAAAAATAAAATCCAGTATCTCCTTCAGTACCGTAATATGAGATGCTACTTCATCATTTGTTTTACAAGGTTCAAACAGCCACGTTCTAACCTACTGCATAAAGGTACTTCCTGGCTTTCCTCCGGGGACGACCTTTAGAAGCCTGCAGAAAACTGCTGACCTTGTTCTCTTTGGGAGATTTACAGACTTCACAATATTCTTTCAACAGAGTTTGCAGGGCCACCCGAAGGCTGAAATCTCGAATACCTTGAGGAAATAAGCAGAATAAAAAAGGCACAGTGAAAAGTTACAGACAATAAGTAACTCAGTTGTAGAAAAGTTACTAGTTTCTCCTGAAATAGCAGACAAATCAAGACTGCCTACTTTTATAAGACTTTTTCAAGAGCACGTTTTTAAAGTAAGCTGCGCTTATTTGTTAAAAAATAGAACTGTTTGCTATAGAGTAAATCTTTTCACTCATCATGCTCTTCATCTAAAAAAATCCATCAAAATCCCGTAACTCTGCACAACACATGGTTTGCTCAAATACAAGCATCTGATATTCTTTCTTTCCTTCTTTCACTTACTTTCTATGTATTTCAATAGCCTTTGTGCTGGTAGCAGAGGGAATCGCACAGGCTCCAGCACTTCTACGACGTATTTCTTTCTTTTCCCCACATCCTTCAAAATCCATTGCATTGCCGCTATGAAAACCTGGTACTCGTCCTCGATGCTGAGGTCCTCGCTTCGCAAGATCTTAATCAGCTGCTCTTTTGTCAGCGCCAGGAACTCCTCCCCGCTCTGCACCTCCAGGAAGTGCGCGTGGATGTAGCTCTCGGTGAACTCCATCAAGTCGTGACAGGCGATCTGCTCGGAGAACTGGAAAAGGCCGATGCAGTTCAGCGGGTCGATCTGCCCCTTCAGGAACTCGCAGCAGAGCTCCACCACCTCGGTGAGCTGCAGCATGTCGGCGGCGACGATCAGCTCCTGAACGTTGTGCTCCCCGATGCTCACCACCCCTGCGGGCAGGCACACGACAGCGGGGCTCCGCTCGAGGCCGCGGCCCTCGGGCAACCGCCACCCCGGCCCGGCCGTCGGGCAACCGTCCCCGCCGCCCCCCGCCTCAGCCGTTACCTGTGTAGATGAAGTCGAGGAGCGTGTGGAAGGTGCCCGCCTCGACGCCCGCGATCCGCACCACATCCCGGCCGGACTCCCTCATGCCACCCGCGAAGAGCGCCGCGAAGTAGGGGCTGCTGGCCGCCAGCACCAGGCGGTGCACGGCGAACGCCTCCGGGCCCACCTCCAGCCGCACGTCGCAGAAGCTCTGCCCGACGCGTAGCCGGTTGATCTGGGCCAGGAGGAGGCGGGCGTGCCGGTCGGAGAAGGAGCTCCCGGCGCCCTTCGCCGCCGCGGCGCACGCCATAGCGCTCCCTGAGGTGGCGGTACCTCGTCCCCTCCCTCCTCCCCCGCCGCGCCGAGGGGCAGCGCTGGCGCATGCGCACCGGCGCCCGCGGCGCCCCGCTCGGCTCGCCCGTGGCGCATGCGCGGGGCGGTGAGGGGTTGGGGGGTGGTGGGAGTGTGTGTGTGGTGTGCGGGCAGTTGGCGGGCCGGCGGGATCCCCCCGCTGAGGCGGGTGTGTCTGGCGACGGCGGGTTTCGTAAAAGAGGGGCTGCTGAGGGGTTCTGTGTGCTGAGCACCCTTCTCCCTCAGTGGGCGTAGGAGGCGGATCTGCCCTGGTTGTGGTACGCCTGTCTGATCTTTTGTCTGTGTGCCTGCCTGGTCACTTGGCCCTGTGGAGCCTGTTCACCCCCACAGGCACCTCTGGCCACCGCACCGTGGGCTCGCTGCCTGCTCTGCGAGGAGCTTTCTTGTCTGTGGTTGAAGCTGGTCCTCTGGTAGGTTTGCTCGCTGTGCCTGGTGCTGAGGTAACAGGTGAATGGCAGATATGCCGTCACTGCCTTCACAATCTCTGTCCCTCTGTCATGTTCCCCTCAGGCGTGCTTTATGCAAACTGGATTCCTAGCCACCTTAATCTATGCTTGGGAGAGAGAAACATGGCAGTGTTGGGGAGAAACCACAGCTACCGTCTGCCTTGGGGGAACCCCAGGGATGGGAGGCAGGGGGAACTGCCTGTTGTTAGCCCAGGACTGTGGCATCAGAGCCAGCCCGCTCACCCCCTTTCTCTATAGTGTCATGCCATGTTTGGGCCTTCATTCTAGCACGGATGTTTCATCACAGTGTTCTGCAGCAGTACCATGTGAGCCACTGATCCTGAGGCAGAGCATGCTTCCGTCTTAGTCTGTATAATTCACTGAGTCACTGCATGCCTGAGCACTGACCAAGGGATGAGCATGACATACTGAGTTACACGCACACGGTCACTGGGTCCGGCAGAGCTGGCACTGATTCTGAGAGAAAAACATCCCTCCTGAGTTTTCCACAACTGTTCCAGCAACGTGACATGCAGCCAAAGCAAAAAGCAATCAGAGAGCCTCTTGGAAAGCTTCCATATCTATTTACTGTGAGACTGGGAAAGAAAAACGTGTCTGCTTACAGTTACAATGGTCATGGCCCCTCAGGCTTTTCTCATGATTCTGCGTTTCATTGTAATAACTTTTAAATGTGCTTCTGGAAGGAATCTGAATCATGATACTCTCTGGGGACTGTTGGTTTCTCTGTTCATCAGCATTACATTCTTGACAGTAGAGTGGTAAAATTACCTTTCAAGCTGGTCTTAAAAAAATACCCATAAAAAATATAGATCTAGGTAGAAAAATAAGGTTTCTGCAAGCACACACAGTCGGATGCATGCTGATACAACTCAGTATAAATTTTAAGCTAGGCTAATAAATGCGTTGAGATTTTTCTTTCATTGATGAATCAGTAAAAGAAACCAGACCCCTCTCGCACTGACATTTTATTCATCGGAAGTGGCCTGTGAGTAAAAGGCTTAGAATTCTCCTAAATGCCAGTGGCTCAGTCGCTGGCTGATGTCAGCTGTTAGACACTTGGCCAGTACTAGGATTTCACACCATAGCGCCAAATTTACAGACACAAAATAGCGTTGCTGAGACTGCTAATTTTGCCCTGAAGGCCTGTCCTGTACTGTATTAATGTGGTTGAATGGTTCTGCCTCCAGAAGAGGGCACTGCTTCAGCATGTTCCTTCTGTAACCACACTTAAGCTTTACAAGATGGAGCTAACGCTCCTATATACTATTGTGCATCTCCCAAAACAAGCTGAAGATTTTCAGGAACAGGCCTGAAAGTACATTTGACAGTGCGAAATTGCACTGTATAATGAGGAGCCTTTTGATTAACTAACACCAAGAATGACAGTCGTTGCAGTGAAGGAATTAAAAATGTCTTCAATTTTAATTTAATAGGCTCCTAACATGATATTTGCCAATAAGCCAGCTGAATGCTGACTGACATGTAGGACAGGCGACAAAAAAGGCATACCCTGTGCTCCTCCATGTGTCCCACTGCTCACACCTGCACAGAAGTGCTGTCACACGACCAAAACCCCTCAGTAAGAAGAATCTCACAAACAAGCTATCCAGGCTTTCTCTTGAAAACCCCCTTGGGCTGTGCCAGAGCGCCATGAAGCATTGCAGTCCTCCCTGTGTTATGCCACAGAGGCCCATGGCTGCTCAGATTTCCCTGGCTGAAGGCTTCTCAGGAAAACCTTTCCAGATGCCTTGGAAGATGTCCTGCTCAGCCGAGTAAGGTGTCCGTGCTCCCTAACTCAAATCCTGCAGATGGTGCTGTTAGTACAGGATGGTACATTTGAATACGCAACAAAAAATGGGTGGCTAAAGTGTTGCACGTGTGGGTGTTGTAGTTCTCCTCTGTTACAGCAAGATCTTTGCTAGACCTAAATGTTATTTTCTTTTCTTTTTTTCTTCCCCCCCGCCCCCCGAACTCCATCAAGATGGAGGGCTTTTAGTCTCAGAAAAACTAAAAGAAAAATAATTGATTTGAAAGTGCAGTTTTGCCTGTCTGCCTCTAGTCAGAAGCCCGTTCATTATACCTATAGCTTTGGGGACCATTTCGACTTAGTATTCAAGCAGTATCCTTACCATACTGGCTGCTAAAATTCTCTCTTGCAGAGGAGACATGAAACTCAGGCTTTGATTATTTGTAGGTATGACAAACCTCATGGGATGTTTTGTGATAGGGGGCCACTTTCCATGAAAGTCAACCAGAATGTGCCAGGTCAAATTCCTCCCCCAGTTTCAACGGGTATGAAATCTTCACTTCCTGTTCCAAACTACAGTGCATCTCTGCACTTTGTCCTCTGTGCTAAGGCATCTGCTATAATCTTTCAGTGATACAGTCAGTTGCTGTTTTAATTACTAATTACGCACTGTAGTTACTATTTGTATTTTAATGCACTTGACCTATCAGAGGAGAGGTGCTGCACAGCCTCACCAAAATGGAAGGAGCTTACTTTGTGTTTTGGTGTCCAGGTCACAAAACTTTCAGAGGATACAACCATTTCTGCTCCACTTCCCTAAGTTTCATAAGGACTTGAACTCAAACTTCTCCCAGGGAAGCCAAAATTGCAGAAGTACAGAGCCACCAAGAGTTTATGAGGACTACAAATATCTGTAGTGCACTAAGCTACATCTCTTGCACTTCCAAGACCCCTTCTTTCTGTTAAGGGTTACATTTGCCCAGGTTTCCCAGTTACTCAGGATGCCATTGCATGCCCAAGGAAATGGTGCAGATCAGCAGTCTCTGTTGATGCACAATTTAGTGGAGTGGTGTGTTACATGCTGCATGATAAATTTGCAGCCCCTGGTAGGGGTAAGATGAGAGAGGCTGCTGGAGTTCACACTCACGCAAAATGGAGGAGAGAAGAGGCTCCCTGGGTATTTTCAAGGTATTTCTCAAAGACAATGGTGGTTAACCTGTCACCACCCCAATGGGACTGGTTATCCTGGTGTCTACTCAGTCAAAAGCCTCTAATGAGCTACAGGCACTAGATCCTAACTAGATAAACCTGTTGTCAGCTTATGTTTTTATGTGATACATAAGCTTTAGTGGATGAAGAAGCTTCCCTTCAGGGTCTGAATGTTTCCCATCTCAGTGGGTAAAGGCATTGTACTTCACAGTGAGATAACACATTTTCCAGACTTAAGTGAGGCATGAGAACACTCTCTCTTGGCAGGCTTGGACCAGGCCCAAGAGCTTTTACCTTCGTTCCTGTGAGGGTTAATGAGGCTTGATGATTACCTATGTATATGTGTATGGTAGAGGTCTGACCTGGAATTGACCCAAAGAAGGAGAGCAAGAGGGGTCCCCAAAGCTAGTCTTTCTGCACAGGCAGCCCCAGAATATAGAGTGTGTGTGAAAACTTTTAAGTTTTCACACTACCAGCAAAGTGATGATGGCTTTGTCCATTTCCTAGCTGAACCGTTAATGGCTAGGGAAACTGTAAAGCTCATTGAAGTGCCATGCTGAATGACTCTTCTCTTCTCTTCTCTTCTCTTCTCTTCTCTCTTCTCTTCTCTTCTCTTCTCTTCTCTTCTCTTCTCTCTTTGTCTTTAGAAGACTTTGTGAACTTTTTTGTCTGATTTGGAATTTGTAATTAGTATTTTTATTACTTTCATGGTAATATGGCTTCAGGTAAAGGTGACATTAAGGTAACTGCCTGATATCAGAGTTGTCGGTCCAGACAGGTTTAGCATTCTTGAACAGGGTATTGAGAAACTCTCCCAAGTATCCACATAGCACCAAAGGTACTGAGAAGCAGGCTGTGCTAGAGTCCAACTGAGTAGGGTGATGTGCTCTAATGACCAGCCACACCCCGGGGAGCCATTTGGCAGCCAGTAAAAGTGGGGAGCATGTCTGAACTGCAAGAGCCTCCAGAGGGAATGTGACATTCCCAGTGAGCAATGCAGAGATAATGGCTTGTGATTTCAGGAGCACTGGCAGTATTTCACTGCTGTGTGCTCCAGTCTTCAACTTCACAATAGTGTTGGTTAGAAAGGTGATTGGTGTATGATAAAAAGTAATTAAAAAAAGGAAAAAAACTTTTTCAGTCTTAAAGTATGCCCTAGCAATGAAAGGACTGTGTCATCTGACCCACTTGTGTGGAGAGGTTTGTGTTCCGGGTGCACTTACCTAGCAGGAAGTTTGGAGGAATTCCCGTGAATCTGGGAATGTTGTGCAACATGCGTGGCTACAGTTCCCCACAAGTTAGAAGATTCTTGTGTTTAAGCCATAAGTCTGGAGCAATTCCAGGCAATTTGATTTAAAGTAAACATCCTGGATGCAGTGTGTCAGATACTAGCACAATATTGTTTTAGTCTTTCTCATTTCTCCTGTGGGAATAATCATTCTATGAAGAAGGAAAGTGATCTAATGAGAGAATTAACTCTAGAGCTTGAACATTGAATTAATCACAGCTGTCTGCGAGGGGAACCAAGGCAAACTCCACAGAGAGCTCACTGC